AATAGTAATAGCTTATATTAGATATAATTTATAGAATTAAAATATATAATTAAGTTAATTAAATTAATAATATAAATATTCTATTATAAGAATTAAAGGCTATTATAAAATAAAAAAGGAAAAGTAAATAGGAAAAAAGAAAAAAAAAATAAATTAAGAAAAAAAGGTTTTAATATTTAGGGAAAAATTATAAATATTAGTAAACTAAGGCTAGCTTAGTAGGTTAATAATAAATTAAATTAAGTTATTTTTTTTCTTTTTTTTTTCCTCTTACTATTAGCCTTATATAAGGCTATTAAGCTTTTTAACTTTTCTATAAAGGCTTAAATAGTAAGACCCCTATAGCAGGCTATTATCGCAGAATTTAAAATTATATAAGGTTTATCTGCCTTAATGGCACAATTGCTGCCTTAACTAGGCAGTATTAATACCAGTTACCTCTTAGCAGCTAGGTCACCCTTCTTCCTTTATCCTACCCAAAGGACTAAGACACGCGCCTAGTCTATCTATTACACTTCTACTCAAAGGTTAGTCAGGCCCTAACTAAGTAAGCAATTAAGCGTAAACTTATAAGTAAGTTTCCTAACCTAGCTTCTAACCCTTCTTGCTAATAGTATAACAGCTATACCGCCTTAATGCCTGCTATATGAAATAGCCTGCAGCCGTATAATTATGCCTACTGCATAACCGGCTACGACCTCGATCCAGCTATTAGGCCTGCCCTAGATTAAATTAGGTTATAAGATAATATAATAAGAGAAATATAAGTTAAGGATAAATATAATTAAATAATACTTAGGATAATTATCTTTAAAAATAAGAAATATACCTTATATTAATTAATTTATAAAGATAAAAATAAAAAATAATTTAAAGCTTTAGAAGTATTTATAAATATAATACTAAAAATCTTATTATTTTATTAATCCTAGTTTAAACTACTGCCTTTTTATTAACTTTACTTTATTTATTCTTATATATAAGTTTAATTAGTTATATACCCTATTATATATATTTAATTAATAAAGGCTAGTTATAACTTTAGGTTAATTTAACTTTTATTAACTAACTTATATAAATAGAGTTAACCTAATTCCTTTAACTTTTTATAAAACCCTGCCTTTACCTTATATTTATTTAACTTTATATATAAACTCTCTATCTATAAGCCTTTACTAATTTAAAAGCAGCTCCCCCTTAATAATAATAACCCTTTTAGATATATTAAAGAGTTACTCTTTATATATAACTAAGTTTAAACCTATAAAGGTAGTAAGGAAGGCTACCTAATTTAAATAAAGATAATAACCTTCCCTTAGGCCCCTTTCTAGGTCCTTAAGACCTAATAGTTTAGGATTAACCTAGTTTAAATTAATTAAATTAATATAATACCTCTAATCTATATACCTAATTAGCTAGATTAGGCTATAATTAAAAATAATTATTTTAATAAGGTTAAATTTATACCTTAATAAGAAGTTCTTCCTAATAATAGCTACTATTATATAAATCTCTTTAAGTTCTTCTTTATTAGTTATATCTAGGGTAGGCCTAATAGCTAAATTAAGGTTATAGCTAGTTATATAATAGGTATAATTATATAGCTATAGGCTATTTTATATAATAGGTATTAAAGTAATATAGATATTATATTATTAGTAAGAAGGGTTAAAAGCTAGGTTAGGAAACTTATTTTATAATAAATAAACTAGGTATAGTATTATCTTAGTCCTTTAGGTAGGATAAAGAAAGAAGGGTAACCTAGCTGCTAAAAGGTAATTAGTATTAATACTACCTAGTTAAGGCAGTAATTATACTATTAAGGCAGATAAACCTTATATAATTTTAAATTCTATAATAATAGCCTACTATAGGGGTCTTATTATTTAAGTCTTTATAGAAAAGTTAAAAAGCTTAATAGCCTTATATAAGGCTAATAATAAGGGAAAAAAAAAAAAAAAAAACTTAAAACTTAATTTTATTAAGAAAAAGAGATTCCTTAATAAAAAAATATAGTATATAAGATTTAGGCCTAAAAGCTATAAAACTAATTATTACTAAGAAAAATAATTAAAATTACCTTTATAAGAAGTATTTATAAATATAAAATTAATTTATCTTAGAGATATTATAATCCCTTAATTAAAACTAATAAACTTATTAAAATTAAATTCTTTAACCTCCTTAATATTCTTTTTTATAAACTTCTTAGCCTTTTTAATATCCTTTTTAATAAACTTTTGATTACTTTTAAACTTATTAATTTTACTTAAAACTTCTTTTTTAATATTAACCTCTTCCTTAAATATTATTAACTTAATATAAAAAGAAAAATAAAACTAATATAAATTATATTTAATAAACTTATAAAAGCTATTTATAACCTTAAAGAATTAAGGTTAAGCTTAATAATAATAATAATACTTAAGGTAATTTA